TCCATGTTGACTTGTTTAAAAGTGAATATTTAAGAGAAAATTAAAGTTCAAAGAAGAGTGTATTTCATACTCTTCAATAACTACTCCAAAATAATTCCAGGTTCTCCACATGGAAAACAGATATGTTTACATGTCATTGTGTAGTAGTGCTGTAGTAGTTATTAGTAGTTATCTTAATTTTAATAAATTAATTTAGTGAAGAAAAATTCATTCCATGCATTTTTAATAATAATAGTGGAAATAATGGAAAAAATATGCAAAAAAAATGTAGCTGTGATACCAAACAAGCAAATAAGCAAGCAAATAAAACCTGCCTGATCACGTTAAATAAATGAATTAAACACACACACATACACACACACACACACACACACACACACACACACACACTTGATGGAAACAAAACAATTAAAGTAATGATCTGTGCTACAATGATACAGTATATAAGATTATATAATATTTTATTATAAATGAATTGCTCTGGAAATGTATTTTTAGTGAAAGAAATTCAATTTAAAACATTTATTTTTGGACTATAGATGTATCTGTTAAGAAAACCTTCACTTTCAGTTTAAAGCTAGAAAAGTGTTTTGAGCTGTGTTATATTTTATATCCTGACCTTCTAGTTTATGGGGAAGTTTTCTCAGAGTTATCAGTCAACTTTGCCCTTAGCTGTGAAGATAATGGACAGAGTGAGGCCTAAAATATACAGTTTGGTTGGGCATGGCACTTACCTGCTTGATTTGTGGTTACATTTACAGACACATACTGCCGCGCTCCTGGGCTCAAGTCGGATACTCCATTCACTGCCTCAATCTCAAAGGTATAGTTTGTGTGAGCGAGCAGATCCACCATCATGACAGAGGTGTTTTTCAGGCCGATTTGCTGGGGGAGGTACCTGACATGACCGCCACACTCCTCACAAACCCCTGCATGGGAGTTGCACTTCTTGCATGCAATATAATATGACACATCTTTCCTTCCACCAGTGTCAGCAGGAGGAATCCATTCCAGAAAGACACTAGTTTCATTAACATTTGAGATGGCATTCCGAGGAGCTGAGGGGGGTCCTGGTTTGCAAAGTAAAGTGAGAAAAACATATTTTAAGATGATATTAATGAGGCATCATTTACTACCCTAATCCCTTACCTGAAGGAAAAAATAGGTTTAAAATTCATCTTTGAGGGTTACAATTTGTTATTATTTTTGAAAAGTTTTTTTGCTTTTTTGTAGGAAAGGTAGTAGGGTTTATGACCTGGAGAAATTATTTAGCTTGGCTTTGTTGTAACACTAGTTTAGTAAAAGCAGATGTTTTGCTTAGTATATATGCAAATAATTATGGATTAAAACTATGTATCCTCAAATAATATTAAGTAAAATGTTATATTTAAAATGTGGTAAATGGATCTCTGTGGGGATTGAACTGATTATTTCCTCACTCATACCAAGAGGTAGGTAAACATGAAGAATCTACCATGTCATCGGCACAGGTTAAAATAAGATTTTTCAGTGTCACTCTTGACAACAAGTTATAAAGTAAGTAAAAAGGTAACTCAAGAGACATTACAGATCTCTCTTATAAATCACCAATGAAATTTAAAACCCTCTTAAGTAAACACTTGGATTTAAGTGGTGGAACAACATCACCATGTGTGGCAAAATCTCTTTTTACTTACTATTCTTTTCATATTGTAGTCATGTAAGTTGTGAATTTTACTTAATTGAAAGGTTAAAATTCATTTTAAGGCTTATCCTCAAAGGCCGTATAATAGAAAAAGTTAAAAGGGTTCAGATTTTGAAGAATCAGTAGAAAAAAATTCAATCTACAACTTACCACAATAAGAAAAAAAATATATTTAACTAAAATATATTCATAGAATCATAATGTCTTAGACTGGGACTAATATAACTTTTCTAACTTCATGTTGCTACTTCTTAGATGTTTTATCTTTATATGATAATAAAAATTGGTTGTAATTTTAAAAACATCTTATATTCATAATCATCTAATTTCATCAAGACAGAGTATTTCACTAAAATATAGTAATAAAGTTCACACTTTGAATAACTTACAGAATTTCTCAAGTGAAGGGTAACATATCCTATTTGAATATTATTTTAATTATTTATGAATCTAATAATTGACATACTAAAGACAATTGAAATTTATTGCATGATGTCTAAAACTCAATTTATAGATACAGTTAAAACCTCAGTCAGTTATAAAAGTTTATAATCAGATATCTTCGAAAAGAAAATATATTTATATCGGTTTCTGAGAACAAATTCATATTTCTTTCCCTCAGAGAATAAAATGGAGTATGGTAATATTTAAATGGTTCAAAAGCATGCATTAAGCTACTTACAAGGATTTAGTGAAATTATACTATATGTGCTATTTGTTCTAAATATAAAAATTAGCAATAATTTCTACTTAACATTTCAAGCCACGATTATTGAGGAGCAAATTTTAAAATGATTTAAAAAAGCATCCTAGTATTCAGGGAGTTAGCTGTAAAAAGTTGTCATCTAAATTAGAGAAAACCATAACTAAAGAGTTGACTTTATTTTATTTTTTGAAAAAACAGTCCCACTATGATGGTATTTATAGTTGAACCCTATGACCTTTTCCAGATGTTCAAATTGCACACTTCAATGTAAAATTCACTTTTAAATTGCAGCAATTAGTTAAGATAGAAATGTAAGTATTATTGGTTATTACAAAATTTAGGTTATTTAGTAGTCAAAAAATGGAAATTTTAAAAATTTGCAATAAAAATGTTACATGCTAAATTTCCAAGAAAGAGATAAAATGTAGCCAAAATATGTCTAGTTTATAAAGACTTTTATTTTTTCCTTGCCAACTGAAATATACTCACATTAAAACCATTGTTTTTTTTAATCTATAAAAACATATTAGTTTGACTCTTTTGTTTTGATTGCTACCACCTCACTCACAACTTAGATGGGACACATATGCCTCCAAAGTCAAAAATTTTAAAAATCAAGTGACATAGAGGTAAAAATTAGAGGCTCTATGTTCGCATACTCTTAAGGATTCCATTGCCCCAATAATAGATATGATGTGTAACCTAAAGTGAAGCTGTGAGAAGAACCCTTGGTTTAAGTCAGTTTGTCAGAATTTTAGTTCTTATTTTTGGAATTTTACTCTGTAGATTAAATTTCTCATTTCCAGATTTTGTATATATATTTTTAAAAAAATATTAAAATGAGTCATAACCATAAATTCAATTCCAAAAGCCAAAGGCAAAGTGAAGTTCAAGATCCTGGTCTGAACATCAATCAAGCCATAAAGGGATCGCATGTATTATCTAGGGTACTCTGAGTACAACAAAAACAGACACACACACTCACAATAATCTTTTTTGAGAAGTGCATGCAAAGTCGTGCTCTTTTGAAACACAATATTAGAAAATCACAATGGAGATAGGGAAAATGTAAAGCCTACCCATGGGCTTTGGTCCTAAGAGTGCTAAGCAGTCCTTGCCACCAAAGCACAGCCTCTCCCCGATTCCCATACTAAACAAATAGACAGAAAGGGAGGCGCACATTTATGCCACAAAGGAGATGGTCCAGGCTGGGCCACAGAAAATACTAACTAGAAAATTAATGAAATTGAAAAGATGATTAAACATGGTTTTCTTTCCTTAACTGACCACTCTATTGTCCAGTCAGCATTTTCCTACTATTTGGACTTACTTTTGCTCTTACTAATCTAAATAATTTTTTTAAATCTCTTTGACAACAAATTCCATCACATCCAATAAAATATATCCACCCAAAAGTGTACATCATAATGTCATTCACTGGGTTGAAGAGAAATTCTTCATTACTAGTAATCATCTAACACATAAAATCATCAATCTTGGGATTAAAAAGAATGATGTTTAGAAACAGGAAACTAATATCAATGATTTAAGAAATTCTGAAATATTTGAATAACTATAAAATTCAGACATTATGAAATTCAGATAAAAACCTTAATCTATGATGCTTGATAAGAAGAAATCTGTACTATTTATGTTTGCAGATGTATATTCAAAATTCAAAAGTCTGAGAACATTTTGGAGAGCAGCTCCAACTTATTAAGACTAAACAAAGTAAACAAGTCAGGTTATGGAACCTGTACATTGTGAAGAGGGATGAAATAGCATTTATTCATTTTTATTTTCTATTTTTGTTTCATTTGGTATAGAGACTTTGCTTGTGGAAAAACTGTGGATATATTACCACCAAGCACACAAATGCATAAAGATATTGTATTGACAAAAATCTTGGGAAAACTTAGACAAACAAAGCACCCAAATACATTGATAAATGTGGGTGAATCCACTACAAATATGAAATAAAGTGCTTCATATCTATCTCCACTAATTATGTAATTGGAAAATAGGTTATTAATAATAGTTAAGAACAATCACTAACAAGAAATACAACATCTATAAGAAAGCCCTAACTAAAAACCATGTTGTGTATGAGTCAAATCTTATTTTCCTCCCCAGGTGCTTCATGTTCTTTATGTTTCTGGTCTTCTTTTGTAAGTGACCTTCTCAATGGCATTGCATCTTAGTGAGGCAGGTTAGGACAGATGAAGGCTTACTATACTTTTTATATAATCAAAACACTGGTTTAGAAAGAAGAGGATGAAAAAGATTGAATGTGAAAAGGACAGTGGATTCACCAGAAGTCAGGTTTAGCAATGGAGAACATTAAAACAAACAAAATCAAAGGAAAAATTGTATGTTGTGCCTCTGATGTTGAATTTGAAATTAGGGGAAGTGAGTGATTAAAAAAAAAACAGACTCAAGTTTTTCAATGCTTACTCAAAGAGATTGAAATTCAATAAAAAAAATATGTTGAGAAGATTTAACACTATGCCTGTTTTCAAGGGAAATGTTAATAGAACATAACAGGCTGCATCATGATGTTTCTTCAACTGGTGAAAGTTAGCATCACCAAATATCCATGGGTTTCCTTACTTGTGCATGCCATTGTGGGTGGATCAGAGTCCCTCCTGAAATAATCCTTTTCACAGACACAAGAGGTTGAAGCTTCCTCATGGGTGTAACTGTGAGGTGGACATTTGCTGCAGCTCTGGCTGTGAGGTGAGGCTTTGAAGAACCCAGGTCTGCACACTGTCAAAAGAAATAAGAGACTAAGCTTTTCCCAGGAAGAGATGCAGTGTTTGTTTTGTGAATAATGTATCATTTGGAATAGTATACACAGATTACAGGTAATACAATCTTGGCATGAATTTCAAGAATTTTTCATAAGCTTCTGGATCATAAATATCAGACTATTCATTCAAATAATCAAATATTTATCTAAAGTAATAAAATTAAAAATGTATGGTATGTACATATATGAATAATTTTATGCCACAGGAGCTTATAAGAAATTATATTTATGTAGACAAATGCTTATATGTATTTAAAACTGAAGCAGTGCTAAGTACAATTTTACTTAATATACTGCAACTACATTGAAGAGCTTCAAGTTATACTATATAATCCTACAAAGGAATGGTAGAGGATATCCTAAAAAATTTTATATTAAATAGACCAATTAATCATCAGTTGCTAAAATTTTCACAAGTTCTGTTATATTGGAGATAGTGCAAAAATCAGTTTTTCTATCATCCATATGATATTAACTTCAGAAGTCATAGTTTAAGCATTTGTTATAGATTTTCTCCATTTTTAAATGTTTTCTTTGAGTTTCTTACTAATTTAACATTTATATATTCTGAGATCAGTAATATTTATATTCCATAAACACTGTAATGATTATAAATAATAAAAAGCTAAGTCTTATTCAGTTTTGAATTTACAGTACTTATTCCAGTGTTTGACTGCAACACGGTTTTAAAAAATGACATGAAATGCATGACTGAATCAGTGAAGAGTATTATTGAGCAGTTTAGAATCACAGGAAGGAGATGTTTGCTGATACTTTTGTTAACTTTTCTCAGTTGGTAAACAGGTAAGTAGCTGGTGGTCATGAAGCCAATCTCTTTACTGTGTGAATTCCATACATTTCCATATCCTCCTTTCTTCTCAAAGGGTAATAGAGTCAAACTTCAATGTTCCTATTAGTTAGTCTGGGCCAATTAAAGACTGCCAAACTGATGGTTAGAATACATTTTAGAGTTTATTTTACACAAAGCTAATAAACTGCATTTTTTCCACTTTCAGAATTCACTACATATACTTAAGAGTATTTATTAATTCAAGCATCAAGGTACATTTGCTGAAACTCAAAGGTGAACTTGTATTTCAATAGAAAATTCTGGTAGACATAATGAATTGGAGCTAATTTTCATGTGCTATAAATGATCTGGGGTTTTAGTAATCCATGCTAAGGCTTTTTTCCATCTCCATGAATAATCAGGAATTGGCAAAAATAAGAAGGTACTTTTTCCAGTGGATCTAATTATGGTGATAGTAAAGCCTTAATGCTCTTATAAATTCAGAGAAAATGTGAAGGTATTTGAAAGATAAGAAGAGCTTTTTGATAGTATTAAGGACATTCTTGTAGTAAAATGATTAAACGAAGATTTAAAATATTATTTTTTCTTATAATAGGATTGAAATAGCAGCCAATGCCATACTTAGCTAAAGTTATCCAATTTTTCTTCTTTTATCCTTTTAGTACAACCATTCTCACACTAAACTCTATTTGCTTTCAAAGGTATGAAATGTCAATCTGCACATTCTGCATATTTGAAATTCATTTATCACTAATGAAACATTCTTTGGTTTATAATGAATGCCATTCAAACTAAAAACTTCATGTAAGATCATATACAACACTATTGTTCAACCCTGCATGGAAGCTTTGGAAACAAGAAATAATATAAATGTAAGTAAAATGTAGATAAATGTACCATTATGTGCTGCAGTTTAACAAATCTGTTCAAGCAAGTGTTATGGGCCAGAAACTTTGCTTGTTAATAGACTGCAATGGTAAACAAGATAGGTAAAGCCTCACCTTTGTGAATCTTAAAAGTATTGCATTAATAATTACAAATATGATTATCCTAGGAAAGAGAAAGAACAGTGGAAGTGAATATAGACTACCCCATTTAAACAGAAATATCAAAGAAGACTTCTCTTAGGAAACAGAGTCTCCAAAGAAATTTGAGATTAAGAAATCATCCATTTAAGTCTGAGCTTAGCACTGTGTTCAGGGTAGAAATACTTCCAAAGGACCATATGAGATAGAGAACACAGAGAGCAGAAGAAAGTAAAAATGATAAGGAAGACAGTTGGAATAAAGTGGAAGTCACAAATTTATACATCAAAGTGGGCAACCAGTTCACAAAATCAAGATTGCAATGGTTCAAATTAACAATTTTCAACTTTACAACAGTGTAAAAAGATATGCATTCAGCAGAATCTGTATTTCAAAATTTTAATTTTGATCTCTTTCTGGGCTAATAATAAGTAATAGAAATTCTTCACAGTGTGGGCAGTTCAATTAGTCACACCACCTTAAAACCATATACAAAATAAGCTTTGTACTAGATAACTTTGCCTAACTGTATGCTAAAGTAAGTGTTCTGAGCATATTTTAAGAGCATTAGGTTATGCTCTGATGTTTGTCAGGTTAGATGTTTTAAATATATTTTTGATTTATGATATTTTTCAGTTACAATGGATAAATCAGGATATAATCCCATGGAAGAAACATATGTATTATAGACTTTGTTTTACAATGAAAATAAGTCATTATAAAAGCTTGACAAACTAAAATTTCATATATTTAAAGTAACTGCATATTTTGAAGTAGGGGATTAATAAGATCAAAATAGCACTTAGGAGTTCATTTCAGAGCTGCAAGAAAATAGATTGGAGAAAGCAAGAACAGAGGCAACTGACACTTTTGTTTTTATATTGGTCGAAAGACAATACTGCTTAAACCAGAGGAGTCTCAATAGATAAGAGTAGGTGATTATTATTTTTTAAAGGAACAAGACAAAATCAATTAGATTTCACAGCATATTTAATGGCAGAATTAATAAGAAATTATAATAATTACTGTAAAGTGTTTGGATTAAACTGTACAGGAAAATGCTGGTGCTATTTTCTCAGATTAGAGAACATGAGATATAAAAAATGTTTTAGGGAACACAATGAATAATGCTTAATGCATTATTTAATTTGAAGGAGCTAATGAAAGCTAAGTATATGTAAAAAAAAGGAAGACTACATGATTGAATATTACCAGAAAAATATTGGCAACTAATTTTTCATTGCCTTTAGATTCATAACTCCAAAACCCAATGGTACAAGCAACTGTGTTAGAAATCATTATTGCTATTTTCTTAGTTTACTTTATTTCCTAATATTAATGTAATTATATTGAGCATCTTATCTTCAAACTCTTTAAAAGTTATTTTCCTTCATTACAGCTTAATAAGTATATTCTCTCTAAATGGAAGTCATTAGGAAAGAAGAAAGAAAATGTCTAATTTTCCTACCATCAAATATCCGAACTTATATGCAGTTGTGCCCATCCACTCTACCTTTCTTCCTATTATAATAAAAATGTCATTCAAACTGAAAACTTCATGCAAGATTATATACAACATTATTGTTCAACCCTGCATGGGAGCTTTGGAAACAAGAAATAATATAAATGTAAGTGAAATGTAGATAAATGTACCATTCTTCCCTGCAGTCTAACAAATCTTTTCAAGCAAGTGTGGTGGGTCAGAAATTCTGCCTTAGTTCATATCAAGGAAAATCTTGACTTAAAATTCCCTCTATGCTGACATAACATCTCAAGTGTCTACAAACATTTTCACTGAAATGAAAACATAATAAACCATTAGTATCACTTGATTCCTATCTCCCAGTACCTATTCAATAGTTTTATCTACTTTCAAACACAAATCTTTAAAAACATTTTTCACAATTATGTGTGTGTGTGCATTTATGTGTGTATGTGTACATATATATACATACACACATAAATATATATGTGTATACATACACACATAAATGCATATATATTATATATATATGCCTAATATATATTATTCTAAAAAACAGATTGATGCTCTCCACTGAAATTACCGTTTAAAGACTGAAATTACCACATTCACTCCTCACCAGCATTTGAAAATGCTTTCTTTTGGGAAGCTTCAGTTATTTTCATGACAAAATTCCAATATAATCCACAACTTTCCATGCAATATTTAAAAATCCTTCAAATATCATCTCCATTCACATTCACTGTCTCCATCCACTCTAACCTGCACCTGAGGAACTTCTCTGCCTCTCAACTTGGGGAAAATATTCTAGGCCCAAAGCAAGAAATATACATAAACTAATTATTTTTAAAAGGCTTAAAGCCCATGATAAAGAATTTGGATTTAATCTGTAGACATTTGGAATTATTTATTTTTAGAGGAAACACTTCTTGTCAGTACTGTGGCAAGGTGTAGTTGGACTGTGATGAGAAAATAAAAAATTATTTTTCACACCTGTGAAGCTACAAAGTATTGGGAAAGATAAATAATAATCAATAAAAGCAAAACTCACCTTTTACATTTTAATGAAGAAAATGTTTAACAAATAAGTAGTAAAATTTCTCCAAATTCTAATTCAATTTTTTTTTCAAAAATATAGGAAGATACTGGAACACAGTTGTTTTACACAATGATGTCTGTACATTACCTAGATATTATTTAGAAAACAGTATTGAGATTCTGTTTAAGATGATCAAGAAATGGGAGACAACATCTGCACTCTATGTTGATGTTTTATGAGAGACTCTTTTATCAATTTGCAGGAAGGAAAGAAAATATTTTAATAACTAGTTCTATCCATCCAATCTCATTTTAAACCTATCTTTTTCATGATCTGTGATACAATCAATTCCCATGATTGCATGTTCTTTGCCTCTTCATGCCTCATAATTTTGTACAATTTACTTAGCATCTCTCTTATGACGAGAGCAAATATTTTCCATGCCTTTATTTTTATGCATTCTTATCCTCCACCAACTTGTATAAAACTTCTGGAGAACAAAACCATTCATTTGATTTTTATCACATGTAGCACATTTTCTTAAATATCCATCAAAATCTATTGGTGTAAATAGTATTTTTGTGTCCTTCTCAAGCCCA